CCCCTGACTGCCCCGACTCTTAGCCACACCCCCGCTCCCAGACAGACCCCCGGGACTCCCACACCTATCCAACCACTCCCTGCCTCCTGACAGGATCCCCAGAACTCCCAACCCATTCAACTCCCCTGCTCCTTGTCCCCTGCCCACCACCTCCAGAGACCCCCTTGCCCCCAATCACCCCCCAGGATCCCACCAACTATCCAACCCCCCTGTCCCCTGACAGCCCCGACCCCTAGCCACACCCCTGCCCCCTGACAGGCCCCCTGGGACTTCCACACCCTATCCAATGCCCCCATTCCCTGTTCCCCGACTGCCCCCGAGACCGTCAGGCCCATATCCAACCCCCCTGACCCAGCCCAGCCCCCTTACCACGCCACTGCTCAGAATAGAGTCCCCACCAAATCCCACTCCCTGGACATCCCCTTGATGTGATGGCACTTATGGGGCAGGTGCAGAGAGTGCCAACCAAGCTGGAGTGCAATGATGAAAGAGCGCTATGACTGACATAAGTCAAAAGTCACATGTAGCACTGGGGAGGCAGCGATTGGCTGGGCGGGCCCGGGAGGGGGAATAAGGGGGGGTCTTGGTAGCAGAATGGGGTTCACTGTGTGACACAATTACAACAACTTTGTGCGGCTGCTGGGGAAGTTTGTACAGGCAACAAATACACCCTGTGCAGGCCGGGGGGACGCTGTCACCCTGACTCATAGGTGCTGACTTTTGGTTTTGCCAGTGGGTGCCCCATCCTAGCTTCACCCCCTTATCCAAGGCTCCACCTCCACTCCATCTCTTCCTGCCCCATCCCCCTAGACCCCCCTGAAAACCTTCTTGCAAACTCCCTCCCCTAAATGCCTCCCACCAGCTGCTCACTCCTTTCTGCCCCTCCTGCCTTAAGAGTGAGGTGTGGGTGCTGGAGGATTACTCTGCCAGTTTTGAGGGGAGGCTATTTTCAACATTTATACAGTTTCATTCTAGTTATTGAAAGTGTGTCTATCATTGGTATCTCCCCTTCCTGATGTTTCCCAGTTCTTGCTCTCCACCTGTGTCCCTTTTCCCATCTCTCTCTGCTCCCCACTTCCTGGTAGCTCTGTTTAGCAGCTGCTCCCACCCACGCACTCAAAGCAGCTCTGTCTCCTCCGAACCCCACCCCCTGCAGCCAGCCTAGAAACTACATGCCCTGACACAGAGAGAAATTTAATTCAACAGCCCAGCATAGAAATGGCCCATTCATTCAGCCTGCTGTGTGGCTGCTGTGTTGTTGCTCCAGCTCTTCCCAATTCCAGGGCTGCAGCCCACCCCTGCTTTGACTCCTTCACGCACTCTACAACTTTTGTGGGAGGGGAGCCCCTGGTGGGACCATGGCCAAAGGCAGGGGAGTAGGGGCCAGTTGCCTACTCCACCGGGCTGCAGCAGCCCAGCACCCTGAAGCAAGAGGAGCTCAGGTGTCCCAAGGTGAAGCAGGGCAGCATCTCCTGACCTGAAGCTGATACGGGGGATGGATGCAAGGGAAGGAATTCCCCAGGAGCTGGGGGGGAGGGGGGAAGGGGGATCCAGGGGAAGAAAATTAATCCTTCCTTACACTGGGAGGAGGGGATGCTGATCGGTGGGGGAGGGGATAAATTTCCTCTCGGAGGAAAAGCCCCTCAGGGAGGCTTGATCTGGGTGTGGGGGACGGGGAGACAGCTTTGAGCTGGGCAAGCATTACTTTCCCAGGTATAAGGGAACCGTAGGGGTTGGAAGCTCCCAGAGCCTCCATGGGATGGGACTGGGCAGCATCCGGGCTTGGAGAGGCTGCTCATTTGCAGCTGGGGCTGGAGTGAAGCCCCTCTGGACAGGTAAAGAAGGAGGGGGCGAGTTGCAAGTCCCAGCCCAATTTCACTCAAAAGACACAAGGAAGAAATTTTCTTAAAGGAGCCATGTCCTTTGGTTTGTCCCCCTGCCTAGCACTAAGGGAGTCTGCAGCTGGTTTCTCCTGGCTGAAGAGAGAGCAAAGGTCCTGGGGGAAACACCAGGGTGGGCTGAGACTGGCTGGCTCAGTCCTTGAGAAAGCCCCTGGCCCATACACCCCCCCCAGCAGTCCCCTGGAGCCAGCCCAGAAGCTGCCTGCCCATCTCCCCCCAGCCCCCTGCCAAGGGGCTGCCCACCCCTCTTCAGCTAGCCCAGAAGCTGCCGTGCCCTGGCTGCTGGTCCCCCCTAGCCCAGCTCCCTCTACCCTGAAAATCAGAAAGACTCACTTACCTCTGCCTGTAGTCTCCAAGCTGCAGTAGGGGCAGGGGAAACAGCTGATCGGCAGGACTTTGCGCCAAACAGCTGATTGGCTGCAGCCAGCCAAAGAGCTGATGAGGGCTGCTGCAGCATTCTAAATAGCTGATTGGCAGTTGCCAACAGCTGATCTCCCGGGCGTGCTAAGCAGCCTCCTCCTTGTCCTCCTCCCTGCTCCGAGCCTCCAGCGGGGGAGGAGCAGCCTTCCCAGATGGAGCTCAGGCATGATTAGGGTGTGCCTGGGCACACCCGGTACACCCTGTGTGCACGCCTATGTCTGCATAGTAAACATTGGCATTTTTATCTGGTTGAATAACACTGCTCTACAGCCAAAATGCTTCTAAATAAATGTAGTCAAACTTTACTAATTCTGGGTCA